GGAAGCGCGCGCTGGTGGGCGTGGAGGCCCAACGAGCCCCGTGTGACGCCCCCCGGCCCAGGGGTTACAGGACACGGGAAAACCTCTGCGAGCCCCCTTGCAGGGACGAGGCAGCGCCGCAGCAAAACCTACAGCAGAAAGCAGCCCTAAGGGGCAACCTATAGAGGTGAGAAGGGATGGGGAACCCCACAGAGGGCTATAGGTGCCAGGGGAGGGGCTATAGGGGACAAGGGGGAGGGCCAAGGGGAATTCGTTCGTTATAAGAGAGCCCTACATGCAACCTAGCCAGCGGAGTCCCCGTAGGAGACCCACAGTGCTCCCCAGAGCAGGCCTGAGGCGCGGGAGAGGCGTTACAGGGAGCCACGGGGCCAAGAGGGGAACCCGATAGGAGACCCGGGGGGCTAAAGCCCTCTACAGGGGACCAGGGAGGGTCTTGGGGACCACAGGGGCGCTACGAGACCGGCAGAGCCGGCACAGAGGAGCCGTACGTACGACGCCGTGGGACCGACAGGAGCTCGATGGGTCTGTAGGGGCTACACAGAAGCGCTCTGGGACCCACGGGGCCGATACAGGGGAGCTACGGGGACACTCTGGGGCCTATTGGGGCGCTATGCAACCTACAGAAGTGCTGCCTGGGCTTATAGGGACTATGTAGGAGTGATATAAGGATCCATAGGGGCTACACACTATCGATATAAGACCTATGGGGTTGCTATACAGGCACTAGGGGATCTATAGGGGCACCCCGCCCCGCCTCACCCGCTTGCGGCTGTAGTAGCTCCTCGGGGCGGAGGCGGTCTCTGGGCCCGGAGCAGCGAGAGGACGGGCCAGAGCGGCACCCCGGAGGTCCGGAGAACCGAGATGGGAGGCTAGAGTGGCATCCTGCAAGTCTAGGCCAACGAGGTGGCAGCTAGAGCGGCCCAGGGCAGCGAGAGGAGGAAACCAAGAATGACGTCATTTGTAGTCCTGGGCAGAGAAACTAGGAGTCAGAGCGACAAGGAGCAGCAAGAGGGAGAGCTAGAGCTAGAGTGGCAGGCTGGAGGCCCGGAGCAACGAGGTGAATGACCAGAACGGCAGAGAGCAACGAGAAGAACTACCAGAGCGGATTCATGGATGACTAAGGAAGCGAGACGATGGGCCAGAGCAACCCGGAACAGCGAGAAGACATGCTAGAGTCGTGGAGGTCCGGAACAACGAGATGACGCGCTAGAGCGAGCCGGAAGATCGAGAAAACTTGCTAGAGCGGCACCGTGGAGGTCCGGAACAGCGAGACGTGTGGACAGAGCGGCCCGCAAGGCTCTGCAGCACGGCAGAGGGCGCTGCCGCCCGCCCAGTTACCACGTGACCCCGCCGTGCAGTGACATGTGCAGCCTCCCATCCACCCCAGCGGGGTGCCTCTGCGCGAGGGCCCCGTCCCTCTGCAGTGACACAAGGGTCATGCAGAGACCCCGGCATGCAGTGATCCAACCCCACTGCAGTGAGCCTATTACTCTACTGCAGTGTGCCCCCCCCAGTGCAGTGCATCACCCCTGCAATGCAGTACATCACCCACAGATTGCAGTGTCCCCCCAGGAGAGACGCAGAGTCCCGTGGAAACACGAGAATCCTCTTTATTTTGGCAAAACTGGCTCTGGCTGGACCCAGGAGGTGCCAGCATCCACAGCACCGATGGGGAGGTTCCGGGGGTGCGTGGCCCCAGCTGGGAGGGGGTCCCGGGGAGGAGGGGACAGGCCCTGCAGGGGCTGGGGGGGGCAGAGATAGGTGCTGGGAGCCCCTGGGGGGAGGAGAGGAGGGACCGGGGCACCCCACAGCCCCGGGACCCCACCTCCCTGCAGTGGGGGGGGGTTGTTACACAGGCCGGGCACTGGCCGTGTGCATGCTGAAGTACTCAGTGAAGCCATTCTGGGTATGCAGCTGGGGCGCGTGCAGCTGGTAGGGGGGGGGCTGGCTCTCAGCCCCCCCTCCTGGCTTCGGGGCCACAGAGCTGCCCAGCTCTGCCGATGTGGTCACCACTGCGCCACGCTGCTCCAGGGCTGGTGTCTCCTCCACCTGCTTCCGGGCCTGCGGAGACAAGCAGGGTCAGCACGGGAGGGGGATGCGATGCAGCTGGCTCTGGGGTGGGCATCAGGGAGGGTATCACACCCTGGGATGTGGCTGGCTCTGGGGTGGACGTTAGGGCTGGGTGTAACAGGGTCTCTGGGTTGCAGCTGGCTCAGGCGGGATGTCGGGGCTGGTATCACAGGCCTGGGATGCAGCTGGCTCTGGGGTGGGCACTGGGGATGGTATCGCACCCAGGGATGCCGCTGGCTCTGGGGTGGGCGACACGGCGCATCCCCCCCTCCCCCAGGTGGTGCCTCACACTGGCGGCAGGCGCCGGGGGCCCATGGGGAATGGAGAAGAGTTCGGTGAAGTTGGGCACGGAGTCGCTGATGAAGGTGACGTTGCCGTAGACGTGATGTGGGAACTTGGCACCTGGCGCCGCCCCCTCCTCCACGATGCCAATCTGCGACGTGCGCACATGGTATGGGAAGTTCTTGTTGGCGGCCGACGGGCGCGTCATGATCTGGGGAACACGATGGGGGGAGTCAGGGTTGGGAGGGGCCCGGGGGGGCGGTCCTGCGGGTCCTGCACTCACCAGGAAGACGGCATGTGCGTAGAGGTGGATCCCCAGCTGGATCCCATTGACGATCTTCTCCCGCGCCCACTTGGGGATGCCGAAGTTGGCAATGAGTGCCGTGACAGGCACCGCGAAAAACCTGGAGGTGGGGGGGAGGGGTCAAAGCAGGGTCCCCGTGCGCTCACAAGGGACCCCGGCCCTGTCCGCTCACCAGAGCGTGTAAGCGGCGAAGAAGGGCACGTAGAACGGCTGCTTCTCCGGGAACTGCTTGAGTGTGATGAGCACGGCGTAGCAGAACCAGACATAGGCCAGGCCCTGCAGCGCAATGAGCCCGTAGCCGGCCGGCGACTCATATGTGTACAACACCTGTGCTGGGTCAAAGAACTGCCC